GCTATAATAATATTTTTTTTGATGATTAAAATTTAAATATTTATTAATTTTAACATGTTTATTGGCAGATTTTTTAATAATGCAATTGTTTTAACTTAGAAACAATTCTAGCAATACCTAATAATATTAATTTTTTAATATAAAAAAAAAATTAAAAGACAGGTTGTAAATAATTTTTTTGGTAATTAAAATTTAAATATTATATTAATTTTAATATGTCTACTACTGTTGCAAGTGCTATTAATAGGACAAGAAATATGTAAAAAATTTAATTATATTAATAATTTTATATATTCATGTGGAAGATGAAGTAATGTTTGACTAAATAATTTGATTCTACTTATTTTAATTTTGTGTATTTATGTAGAAGATGAAGTAATGTTTGATTAAATAATTTAATTCCACCTATTATTCATAGTTTTAATTCAGCACGACATAATTAGAATTCTAATGTATATTTAGATTTATTATTAATTCAATTTTTAATAACTGTAATTAATATTTAAATTATATATTATAGCCTCCTGATCTTATTAAAGATTATTGGTTCAAAGAACTTCGTTCATTTTTCTTACAAATAAGATTTGTTGATAGAAATATCTTATATAATTTATTGGAAAAAAATTTCTCTCATCAAGACAAGATGCAAAATATTCTGATAAATGGGTCAAAAATGTTTTTACTCAATTTCAGAGGTGGAAGTTGAAATCAGTACAAAATATAAATACGCACCTTAATAAAAAACTTAAAACATATCATGGAGCTAGACCTAGGTAAATTTAAATATTTTAAAATATTTAAACATTAAATTAATAATATTAAATTCTTTTTTTTTTTTTATTTGATAGAAATCCTACGGATAATTATTTTGTCAATATGGATAACCAAAGGTGATTTATTAGAAATATGGAGAACATGGTTTAAAGATATAAATCCAGGACTTTTCGATATTAATAATGTTGGATGAGATAATGAATATCGTGATATCATTGTTGAAATTATGAAAATTCGATACAAATATGAATACTTAAAAGAAAGAAACAATATAGATTCAGAGAAAAGATGTGTTTTAAAATATTATGACCTCCTTACAAGGGATTTTCATGTTTCCACTTTTACAGGCGTGCATGCATATCAATTTATTGCGATTCTTATAATATCTCTGCCAATAATTTAAATCACCCATACCATAAATTATGTAATTAATTTTCTATTCAATTAATAATTATAAAATTAGAAAATTTTCCTTAATAATTT